AATAGTTTTGATGCTTATTGATTTTCGTAAACAAAATGTTTCATGTTATATTTCATCAATAAAGTTTCATTTGATACTTCAATAGTTTTATTTTTAACCGCAATACATGAAAAGGAACGGATCATAGAAAAGTATGACAGGTATATTTAATCTGTGGGCGGCAGACGCCATATTGTATTCAGCGCCACCTACTGGACAATCTAGCTCGGTACCAGTTTGTTTATCGTTTAACCAATACTAGGGCCGTTTCCTATCTGTCTTTAGACATACTCTCTAATCTGTGGTCGGAGATAAGCTGAGTTAAGTTCAACCAAGAAAAGCGCGGGAAACGTTAAACTTGGCGGGTGTCTTTTTTAACTTTCCGATTTTATTTATAAATTTTCGCGTAATTGTGATCAGGAAAGTAGTGTAGTGTAAATATTTATTATTGTGTACGTATATTTTGTGTAGATAGTGTTATTTGAGCTGATATTCGGTAAGTTTTTTTTTCATTTTCGTCTTTCACCATGAACGATCCTCCTGACCCAGGGGGATCAGTTCCCCCTGTTTTTGATGAGCCTATCAGCTCTCCAGGACACTCTTCTCCTTCAGTAGGGTTTTATGTGACGGTAACTAATGATACAGATTCTGAAAATTCATTTACTGCTCCCCCCGCTCTCAAACGTAGCCACAAGAAAAGAAAACTTCATGGACAGGAAAAGAAAAAGGTTGATGGTCGTACGAGTAACGCTGATGATAAAACTCCTTCAGTAGATCCTCCTACTCCCACTCCAATTGACCAGGATTTGCCAAATTCGGGCTCTGCTCCCGCCACTATTGGACGGAAATTCTACAATGACTCTGATACGGCTCCATACATTGTCCATGTCCAACGCAATCAATCGTCTCCCAGTGACAACGTTTATTTGCATCCGGTGACTTTTGGGAACTTTCTAAAGAGACATAACTTTCACAACATTATTGATGGAAGTGTAAAGAGAATTGGACGAAACAAATGTTCAGTCTCATTTTCAGATTTCTCTCAAGCTAATTCATTTATGAGTCATCCTAAACTGGACTCCAATGATTATAAGGCTTTTATCCCCACATTTAACGTTACTAGGATGGGACTAGTTCGAGGAGTTCCAGCAGAATGGTCCCCTGAGGAAGTCGTAGAAAACATGACAGTTCCATTAGGTGGTGGCAAAATAATAAAAGTTCGCAGATTGAATTTTAAGTCTTATATTAATGGTACAGTTTCTTGGAAACCATCCCAATCAGTCGTAGTAACATTTGACGGACAAAATGGTATATATTTATAATCCTGATAAATGTAGCTTTCAGGACATATTTTTTTTATTAGATTATCTCCAGTGGTTTAAAAGTAAACGACGTTTATTTAAAAAAATACTTTTTGGTTTTTGTGAATTTTACTCCATATTTCTATTTTTTTGTATGAAAAGGCAAAAAGTTTGTTCTAGAAATGAATTCGCCATCCTTTAATTATCCGAAAATGACACCACACTTGCCCTAATACCCATAGTTTTGAAGATATGGACCTTAAAGTGAAGCGCGGCAGAAGGAAACTTGCCCCCCCTCCCCCTGCTACCACAGGGGGGGCTCCCGATGTCTACCGACGGAAATCTACTCAGGAGCACCCAAAGAACAACTGGTGCAAAAATGAGCCTTCTATACCAAAGTGGAGGGGTCTCCATACAAATCATTGCACTAAATTCCCTACTATTCCCTGATTCGCCAACACATTAAACCTAAACGGCCGACAATTTTGTGATTTTTAATTCAACTAGGTAATAAATATTTAATTATTTACAGTTCACACTAAAAAGAGAGGTAGGGCCACAGAGAGCGAGAAAGATATAAGTAGGTATTTGACTCAAGTTTTTGTTCCAAGTTTGCCCTCCATTTTTATCTTTAGCTTCATGATTGCGCCTATGCGCAACTCCACAGATATGGATAGAATAGATACAGCGAGTTGCTTGTCAAAGCGTGCCATTCCGATATGTCCAAAAGGACATACATGGTCATGTCATGGTCGGATCTGGGGATGATCCCCCCACCTCTAAAAACTAAACTGTTGGCTTAAAAAATCTGGAAAAATTCATGATAATAGTGTTTTTTATGAAATTTCAAGGAAAACTATAACGGTTAAGAAAGATTAGTTAGTTTAAGAGTAATAGTCGTTTAACTCATGTATTTATAACATTTCTTAACTAGTGAAAATTCCTTAGAAGATTATGTAAAGTGACGTGAAGTTCCAAAATACTGAACTGTCCTATGCATGACATTGACAGTGGGGCGCCACCGTCAATACCGGATCGCTGGATTCGCTGGTTCCGATTTTTGCCATGTTGAAAACCATATAGTTGAACGATGGTAGCGCCCCCCTGTCATTGAGTTTGGTGGGACAGTTCAGCGTGGGTCATCTTATCTTCAAAATCACCTGACCCAGCTTTATGAAAGGAAAAATAAATAGGCAAATCTATGCATTTGTATTTATTTAAGTAATTTTTAAATTTTAGCTTTTAAGTAATTTTAAGTTTTTTTTGGAAATGTATTATAAAATTGTTATTATAATTTAATAAATGAAAAAATATAATTAACATAATAGATTAACGCTTACGCTTACAAAGTTATTTTAATTCACAGTCAAACTAGCTATAAATTTTATAGGGCTAGGGGGGGTGCGAGCTAACATCTTTCATCTTCGAATCTGTAACTAGCCCCCAGCTAGCCCCGCGGCCCCGGGTCACTGTCGATGTCAGTTTAGTATTTTGAATCTATAGAAAACAAGTGATTCTGAGTATCTCGTTCGTTACTTCGTTCGTTTCATCCAAAAGACGTCCACTGTTGGACAAAGGCCTCCCCCAAGGATTTCCATAAAGACCAGTCCTATGTACTATGTGCCCCGCCCATTGTGCCGTATGTACTTTTACCTATTATAGTTTAATATTAGCCTATTGTTAAAAACTGTCAATAAGTTATTCAATAAAGAAATTTATTTATTATTATTTATTATTTATTTATTGTCACTTGATTTTAGCGATTCTGAGGTCTATGTCAGTCACTCTGGTTCTCCTACAGATCTCCTCATTTCTGGTTCGATCACGCAGGCATAGCCCGCTCCATCGCCCTTTGTGTGACCTTGACCTTGAGCGTTCTTATCTTATAAGGCCCTTGGTAAGTCCACGTCTCAGATCCGTATACCATCACTGGCAACACATAACAAATCAAGTGGCAGTGGGCGGGGCACATAGCTCGAAGAGCTGAAGGGTCACACACTGGTCAAAGACTTTTGTCTTGAGTTGAGACACTGCGGTATTTTGGACGTGATAATATCGCGAAGCTTCCCGAACGCTGCCCAGCCGAGTTGAATTCGACGATTGACCTCTTTCTCGACTGATTAATGTCCTCTGTCCTCTGTGTCAAATATTACATCAGTGTGAAGAAAATGTGTTCGCCTCAACTTTCGTTGTGCGACTATTAGAACCAGACTAGGCGAAGACCACCGACTTTTAGTTTGCCGATAGTTGGGCCCGATTCTAATTTGTGAGAAGAATCGGCCGATAAGAAATCGTACATCTTCATAATGATTAACAGCCCGAACCAACTATAATTAAAAATCGGTGGTCTGCGCCTAGACTTAACCCCAAAAGGACAAAATACAAGAATAGTAAGGTAGTAAATAAAAAAACGAGGGAGCAAATCGATTTCGAAATTACAACTGTCACGTTCAGTAACTTGTCTAGAGGTGCAGGCAGCAGGGGCCAGCAGGGCTCCTACCCTCATGGTTAGACTCGGTGTCCACCAAGACGGAGCGGAGCGGAAAATACTCAATAAGTTTATTGCTTCCATAACAAATTTTTCTATAAAATTTGACAGCGGCTGCGGTGAAATCTGATTAGGAATTCAAAATACTTTTCCGCTCCGCTCTGCTCCGCCTTGGTGGAAACCGGGCCTATTTTTTATGAACCAACTCACCTGTTGTGTCATTTTTGCCACGTGGAAAACACTGAAATGTCATTTGCAGGAGAGGGCGCTGCTATCAATGCTGTGCTGCGCCATTTGACTTTTGAAAATCGTTTCAACTCTGTGTTACGATATCTTTGGTGAGTGTTTTTTTTAAAATAATAGTTTTTGAGTGATAAAATGTTTGTCTTTGGTTTGACTGTGTCTACTCTACTGTCTATGGCAATAGCGCCCCACCATTTCCATGAAGCCGATTGTGTTTTGACATCACGAAATTCAATATTTTATGGTTTTATTTGTGTTACCATCACATTTTTTATTTACTTTCCATTTAAATTTTGTTTAGCATCAATATGACTTGGGGATTTGTAACTTGTGGACCCAATGAAGCTCTCGTTGTTTCGGGTGAGTTTCTTCTTCGTGTAGTTGAATCATACTTTGAAGTAGCAAGTAGGTACCTAGCTAACGCTTAAATGTTTTCCCCTAAAAATATTTATAGTACTTAACTATTTTAAGAATAAACGTAGGCCTTTGGCTGGTACTAATGATGTATTGCGAATGTAAATTAATGTACAAGAATTGCTATGCGATTTTTATTGTTTACACCAAAGAGTAGGTATCTGACGCGAGTGAATCAGGACTATCTATAAAATAAATGATTAATAATTATGGAATTTTAGAGATACAAACGACATAGTGTGTAATAAATAATCGTATGACTAAGCAGAAAGATATCAAAAATAACCCCTAGATATGTGTACTTTCTACAGCATCAGTGTAATAAATAATTCTTATAAGAAAAACCCTACCATATTTTCTAAATATAAGCTTAGATTACGAAAAAAAAAATAGGATTATTTAATAGTTACTTCAACACAATCCCTGGTTTTATGGAATCTCCTTTTATATTCTACTTTTTATCCTGTTGCTGCACTATTATGGAAATGTGTACTAGCATTCAATGATTGGTAGAATCCTACCAACCTTGAATGATTTTTATATTCCTGAATTTATTTTTACTTTTACGCTATTTTTTATTTAAAGATTATTATTAATTTGTATTGCTCAAATTACTAATAGTCCCATTAGCTCCTCATGGTAAGCTTGTTTTTCGAGTAGGCTCACTACAATAGTAGGATTTGAACCTGCGTTCCTCGCATCTCGAGTCTGCCAGTCCAACCCCTTCACCGTTCGGCTATTGTGGTTTCAAATTATTATCCAACAAAGCCTTTAAAATGCCAGGTGGATACTCTGGTATCAACAGTTTGAGCTCAGGCTAGAGAGCTTTGTTAATTTATGTACAGTCAGTTAGTGACACAACCTTAGTCTGTATCTGAATAAGATGTGTTGCAAACTTATTGTCTACTTTAGGTGTTACAGACTATTTGGTGCTTACTGTTATGTACATTATGATACAAGACACATATGCTCGTTTTCCAATCCCACCAATTTTTAAGTGACCCCTATATGGTAACCCATACGAATTTTGTTTATATAGGGGTCACTTAAAAATTAGGGATTGATGGTGAAAACTGGCTACATACTCCTGAGTGTGTCTGTTATCAATCACTCCAATTCCATATTGGTATAGAAAAATGTATAACTTTCTATACAAAGTGCTTTTATAGCACTTAGTCACATTCATATTATGGACTTTAAAGGACAAAATCTCGTAAGCTACATTTATTTGACGAAAGTTTTTTAAGATATTTGTATATTCTTCTGTTTTACTCTCTTTCAAGTATCATGTATAAGGTGCTAAATATGTAGTTTTACGAATATTTCTGCTTGACTTAATATTTTCATCGTACTCTTTGTCATGATATGGTGGTATTGTTATTCCTCAGGATGCTGTTACTCCAAGCCTTTGTTAGTCCCGGGTGGCCGGGCGTTCGTCTGGCCCGCCATCCAAAACGTGCAGAGGATCTCACTCAACACCATGACGTTACAAGTAGAATCGCCCACCGTCTACACCAGCCAGGGTGTTCCAATATCTGTCACTGGCATTGCGCAGGTGAGTATTGATCATTATACAGGGCGAAGACCTATTGGTGGTGTATCAAACTTAAAGAATTGATTTTACTGCTCAAAGATAATACACCTTTTGGCAAAAGAAGGAAATTCAATCTTCCGAATAAATTAACCTTTTTATGCTCATCAGTAAATAAGTGTGAGATATCTTTATTTATTTAAACATTTGGTATTTAATTGTTCCTGTACGAAATTTGTTGCATTTGAGCAGTAGAATCAATCATTCAGGTTAACTACACCACATACGAGTCACATTGTGTAAGTTTACTTTCACACTGTGTGTTTGACACACAGTCCCACTTACATACACATGTATATCAAAAAATGTAATAATTTGTTTAGCTTCATCAGGTCCTGACGTCATTAAAAAAGCCTTCTATTATTTTAATACGAGGGTCTTGAATTTTCTCGAGTCAATTCCATTTTCTCAACGACTAAACAAGTTTGACAAGACCTTGTGATACGACCGAGAATCTTTTTTTAAATAAATAAATGGTATACGATTTTTAAAACCCTGGAGTTTGCAATTAAATAGATTTTAATATGACTGGAACAGTGGAAATATTACATTCCCGATACTTTTAGTGCAGCCCTCGTATGTACTCAGTATTCAATAGTTTATTGCATAACCATAAAATGTGCAAACTACAAGTATGCAAGGTTAATTACATTCATGGATCCTGTCTATTATGTCTGATGTGCCTCATTTGGGTTGTAATGCCTATTGTCACCGTGCTGGGTATCGCAGGATGTAGCTTTTTATGTACTACTATTTACAAGCTGACAGATAAGTTGAAGAATGGCGAATTGACTAGTTATCACTATTAGCCAAAAATTAGAAGAAACAACATAAAAGTATACCCTCGAAAAACCGGCTTATGCCCAACTGGACACGTTTTCACCCAACCTGACACAACAGATAAATACCTATCAAAAATTCCCAACTTCCGAGTAGGGAATAAGCCGAAAAACTAATTACTTTTCAATATTTTGTTTTTAGGTATTAGGAAAACATAGGGATCATTACAAATGCTTTGAAATCAATATTTATAAATCAAATCAATAATAGTTAGGAAGTATTGACGACGCCATAGGTCTTGCCTTGCCTTTGCCAAACAAAATATGTATAAGGAAAATTCAATTTAATTTACCTAGTCATAAAAATACAGTGGAATGCTAATGCTAATTAGCAGTTCTTGTAATACTTATCTACATGCTTACTGTCTTGAGAAGATCATCTTGGTTGTTATAAGTATTATTATAGACAATACATGTTTGATATTCCTGATGGATGCTCCATGGCACCTTGACTGCTGCCATATAGCGGAACAAATTACGCGACTTATATGATTGTCTTTTTGTGCAAACGGCGTGTATTGTGATCGTATAACGAGCCATGAACATTGGCGTGTATAGAGTTCTTTTTCAGGGAGGGCCTGGTCCCTGACATGCCATGTCACGGGGGGAGTGGGGGGCGTTTAATACCTATATTAGCTCATACTTTAAAGTAGTACGACTTTGAAAAGGGTCTTTACTTTCAGACAGACTGGAAGAGCTTAATGCCTGTACTTTTATGACTTCACAATAAAAAAAAACTATATTAGTTTTCAATTTGTAAAGCTTCTAAACACTGTTCAAGTACAGACGACAGCACAGTATCATCATGCTGTTGACTGTACATTAATATGGATTGTTCAATGTTAACTTTAAATAAAATTCTTTGAATATATTCCAGGTTAAGATACAAGGTCAAAACGCCGAAATGCTGCTCTCAGCTTGCGAACAGTTTTTGGGCAAATCGGAGCATGAGATTCAACATATAGCTCTGGTAACCCTCGAAGGTCATCAGCGTGCTATTATGGGCTCCATGACAGTCGAAGAAATATACAAAGACAGGAAAATATTCTCCAAGAAGGTAAATGTAAAAATCTTCATGATGGTTATACGATTTTATTAGCGCTTAAAATCCAATGAAATCCTTCACCGAAAATCAATTAACTAAACATACAGGGTGGAAACGTTAAGTGATCTCACTCGATTATTTCTAAAGTATACAAGATATTGAAAAACTGGTTACTGATCGTGAAAGTGCTTCACGAGCTCTTTCAAACGGTACCAATAATAGGTTACATAATAAACTGGATCTATCCTAAAATTCAATGTTTCCAGCTTCCATACATTTAGTAAAACCACATAATATTAAAAACTATACAAGATTTTCAAAAACTGGTTACTGATCCTGAAAGTGCTTCACGAGCTCTATCCAACGATACCAATAATAGGTTACAAAATAAACTGGATCCATTCGAAAATTCAATGTTTCCAGCTTCCATACATTTAGTACAGCCACAGTCATGGCACTCATGTCTTGATAAAATTATAGCAAGTAAAGCCTAAATCAATGTTTTCCATGAATAATTTTAAATAAGAATGCAATTTACGAGTTCATTTAAGTGTTTGTTATTTAATAAAAATAAAAAATACTTCTTATATTGTTTGGCTGGCATACATTTAGTATGGAGGCTGAAAACATTTAATTTTCGGATAGATCCAGTTAATTCTGTAACCTATTATTGGTACCGTTGAATAGAGCTCGTGAAGCACTTTCAGGATCAGTAACCAGTTTTTCGATATCATGTATAATTTAGAAATAATCGAATGAGATCACTTATCGTTTCCACCCTGTATATTTATTTTTCTAGGTTTTCGAAGTAGCTTCAAGCGACCTTATCAACATGGGCATTACTGTCGTGTCTTACACGCTCAAGGACATAAGAGATGAGGAGGTATGTCTTCATGTACTATGATATTTGGAATAAATTACAATAATAAACATTTTGTTACGTTTTAACACTTCTTGCATTGTGAAAACTACGTCTGTACTACATATTTACATACGTACATTATTTTATCTTTTTAAGATATAAATAGTCATCATTAGCACTTCTAGTGACACAAACTGATTTTAGATACTTATTTCCGCATTCAAAGCTTTGTTTGCAGTGTTATACATAAGTATAAATAACTCACACGCGTTCATGCTTCTGTACTATTGAATGTGGGAATACGTGCCGATGAAGTACACAAGTATACACAAGTTAATGTTGACTATTATACAAAATGTTCACCGCACATATAAGTACAATGTTTTCTCTCTAAACTGCCACAGGGAGCGAAGGTACGTTACGTTTGGAATGGCGTTCCTTGCTGTATGTTTTGTTACCGCGTGCCACGCAGTGTATACTATGCGCTTAAACCAATCTTCGAACTGCGACGTATATTTAAATTCGGACAATATTATGAACAGGAATAAACTACTTGACACTAATATTTGCCGAAGCATGTACAAGCAATGCACTTGCCTGAGAGCACAATTTTAACTAAAAATTAAGAACCTAATTTTGTTAGCTTAGAATTCAATGAGCGGAATGAAATTGCTCTGTGTCGACTAGTTTATTCAATAGAGGCAGGGGCTACAATTTATTTGGTTTTCTTTATTTGTACCGCAGTTATTTTTCAACACACTTGTTAGTGGAGTGAATCTTGATGCACCTTTTTTGAGTTTGAGAGTGTCGCCTATTACACGAAACGACAGTGTGTTTTTCAACTGATTTATTAATTGTTTTGAAAATATGTCTAACATTCACTTTAAGTGATTGTGAATTATAAATTAAAAAAATTCGTACAAGTGTGTTGAAAATGGTTGAATGAATTCGCGTGCGCATTGAATTTATTACACTATGGCGCCATATTGCCTCGCCTACCAATATAGCACTTGTACAAAATAATATGACTTAAACTGTTTTGCAATCATTCTTTCACACGACTGCTCTCGCACGAAATTTATTCTTTGAAACCATAACTACTTTATATTGTACAATAGTAGTACCTTTAGTTAAAAGTATACATTCTCATGCGAAAGCAGTCTGCCACTATTCATCTAGTTTTATGGTCGTTAACGTTTCGGTGCCCTCTGACCAATTAGAATCAATAAACAGCATCTTAGTCTAAAGTTGCTGGGCACCCACAGCTTACTGTTATAAAAGCCTCAATCCCTGCCTTTAAATGTTGTTTCATACATGCAGCTTAAAAACGGCTGCTACTTTCATTAGCAAATGCTGTTATACATACACAATACAATAACCAGTAGTATATGGACTTAATTAATTAGTTTGCTGATACAATCAACACAAGATACCCCCTAGCTTTGTATCGATGTTATCGTAGATATTATCGGCTATCCTATACCTCCCTTATTACTTTCCGTTGGTTGCAATAAAATATAAACCTGGATTTACCATTATCACACCAGCTGCACCTGCATCAAATAGTAATAGTACTTGGTATAAACCTATGGCTATTTAATACTTTGGCATAATCTAATTATGTATAACTCAACGGTGACTGACTGACTGACAGTGATCTATCAACGCACATCCCAAACCACTGGACGGATCGGGCTGAAATTTGGCGTGCAGGTAGATGTTATCATGTTATGATGTAGGCAACCGCTAAGAAAGGATTTTACAAAACTCCACCCCTAAGGGGGTAAAACGGGATCCATGTGTACGAAGTCGCGGGCGGCCGCTAGTTATCAATAAGTATCTAATACAAGTAATGAATAAATAAGTCTTTTTACATATTAATTCCCTTTAACTAGCTAATGATACGGGAATTAGGTGACGCAATGTGTGTCATGGTCACTTGTTCAGTTATAGCGGTGGGAAACAAAACATATGACAGTAACATGTCTATTACCATTTCCATGAAGGTCAAATACTATGAATGTCCAGTTTATTGTTTCAGAGACAATATTAGTAATTTATTGTGTAATGTATTTTCCATAAAAAGGTACACTTTGTGAAACGTGGTTCTTATTTTATACATGTCTTAAAATAGCATTTTAAGAACGATAAAAGACCCTATAAATAATAAAATGTAAAGTGAAGATAATAAGCCATACGAGAATCTAAATAAATTTATGTAGTAGTAGATTAGGTTTGTCACGTTCTCGCTAATTAATCGTTTGATCCTAATTGACCTGAATTCTCCAATAAGTGTGCCTATGACATAACCGGGTTACACCACCACACAAAAATAAATAACTATAACTAGTAGAAACAGTTAAAAGCATAAGATTTACATAGGTATTTCTAAAATGTTTAACAGTTCTTTAAATATACTTGGAAAATTATACATTAATGTCATGATCATTTTATAATATCCAAATACACACAATATTTTTAAGAAAACCCAAAGAACGATATGATAATATCTTACAGTAAGTTTGGCTTCTACCTTATACCTGTCAACGTCCTCCGTTTATCTTCGTCAGTTTATAATGTAACAAGCGTGCCCCAGCTTCGCACGGGTGCTACGTATACATATTATTATAAACGTGACCGCTATATCTGTATATTCTACACGCAGGGTTACCTGAAAGCTCTTGGAATGGCTCGCACGGCCGAGGTGAAGAGAGACGCTCGTATCGGAGAGGCGGAGGCCCAAGCCGAGGCCAAGATCAAGGAAGCGATGGCTGAGGAGCAGCGAATGGCTGCTCGCTTCCTAAACGACACCGAGATTGCGAAAGCGCAGCGAGACTTCGAACTGAAGAAAGCCGCTTATGACGTCGAAGTGCAGACGAAGAAGGTATTTATTTTAAAGCATTAAAGTTCACCGTGTATAGCCTGCTATGCAATATTGAGCTGACATAGCTCGACGTATTAGCAAACTGAAGTGGTAATAGACAGGGCACTAGCATGCCAGATGAGCCTGCAAAGTTCTGGAATAGACACATACTGATAAGCGGTCAATCTGGAAATCTTTGGAAGAAATTATGATGATCATTTAAATTCATGTGCTTAGATTTGTCTCTTAATATTTTGTTAAGATTCGATCGTTGTGTTTACCGAGTTTTTTCAAAGTAGTAATGTAATGTTGTTGTTATGATACATTGACGCACTTATAACACCTCAGGCCGAAGCGGAGATGGCTTATGAACTGCAAGCGGCGAAGACGAAGCAGCGCATCAAGGAGGAGCAGATGCAGATCGCGGTGGTGGAGCGCACGCAGGAGATCGCCGTGCAGAAGTGGGAGGTGCAGCGCCGCGAGCGCGAGCTGGAGGCCACTGTGCGCAGGTCAGGCCCCATCCCACACAGATGCTGTGCAGCAGACACCAGCAGCCCTCAAGCAGAGCAGACGCAGGTCGCGGTGGTGGAGCGACCGCAGGAGATCGCCGTGCAGAAGTGGGAGGTGCAGCGCCGCGAGCGCGAGCTGGAGGCCACTGTGCGCAGGTCAGGCCCCATCCCACACAGATGCTGTGCAGCAGACACCAGCAGCCCTCAAGGGCAGGGTACTCACCTGCCATGCAGCACGTAACATAGCATGTAACGTAACCAACCTTCAAGTGAGTACGGCTCGTCCACGGTCATCGCGTATCTGGCTGCGAGCTCCTGAATCCTACTTTTACTTTACGAGCCGCCTTTGTACTCGCAGTGATACCGCTACTCGGCGGGTCGCTACGATCTCCCTGCGAACCACGCGCTCGCAGCTCGCAGCGGGTTCGTACCTATGTACTCACTTGATACAGTATCTGATACATTACATGCTACACGGCTAGATGAGTACCCTGCTAAGGAGAGCAGATGTAGATCGCGGTGGTGGAGCGCACGCAGGAGATCGCCGTGCAGAAGTTGGCAAAGTATCACTTAACGCAACTCCTCAATATTATGAGCGTCGTATTTCGTCTATTCCAATGATATCCAGTTTAAGTAAATCAAATTATAACATGATTTAATAATTATGTTGTACGTTTCCTCTACTAAAATAACTTTCATTTTTAATTCAGACCTGCTGAAGCCGAAAAATTCAAATTGGAGAAGTTGGCCGAAGCGCAGCGACTCAAGACCGTGCTCGAAGCAGAGGCCGAGGCTGAGGCCGTGAAAGTTCGCGGAGAGGTGAGTGCCGGACTCACCTTGTTTTTCCACACAAGATGTTTGTGTAGCACTACTAGAACCACAGTGTTTTTGACACAGAGGAAATGCTTTGCGTATTATCACTCTTGAGGGACGAACTTTTACAGGAAAAGGCACTGCAGTTTTAAGAAAGACAGAGTATACTAAAATCTCAGCGGCGTTTCGTCATGGACCGACTGACGGTGTCAGGAGGAAGCATCCATATCTTAGACGTCTGGAACACCGTCGGCGACGGCCCATCTACATAATAATATCCCCCTTGCCTGCTTGCCTGAACGGTCTGCAACGCCAAACTGTTTCCTTCAGACGGTCCTCTCACTCACGCCGTTTTGTAAAATGACTTCTTCGCAAAAGAAAGTGACCTCCTCCCAGCACCTTTCGATTCCCAGCAAGGCGTTGACCAGGCTCGGAAACAATGTAAAATATTAACAATTTTAAACGTAGAGAGTTACTGTAGCCCTGTCAGTTACATTGTGGTTCTGTAAATCTATATATATAAAAGAAGACTGGAATTCGTTGCCTGCTGCTGTCTTTCCCGAAAACTATAATCCGGGCCTTTTCAAGGCGAGAGTGAATAGGCACTTACAGGGCAGATATGTACCATCCTAGACCGCATCCCACTTAACATCAGGTGCGATTGTGGTCAAATACCTGCCTTGTTATGCATAAAAAAAAATAAAAAAAAGAAAGTCGTGTTAGTTACTTCGCTTATAATTTTTAATAATTCGTTTCCCTACCTTTTAACCTAATCCCACCCTGTCCAAACGCAATGTCCGCAAAACCAAACGCAAAACATACGCAAACGCAAAACTCAAGATCAAGAACCCTGTCGTGGCTAAACGCAATCCGCGAGAGCCAGAAAGAAGAAAAAAAACTCAAGAACGGCTGAACCGATTTAGCTGAAAATTGTCAGGGAGGTAGTTTAGAGCCAGGAGAAGGACATAGGATACTTTTTATCCCGTTCGAAATTAAAAAAAAGTCTGCTTATTTATTGCCATTAATGCGGAACAAAGTTCGCCGGGTCAGCTAGTTCTGTATAAAAGTTTATTAGCGTTAGAGTAGGCGCACACCGTTGATTTTTCGTCGGCCGATAGTTAGTCACCGTTGATTTTTCGTAGCCCGACTAGGCAGTTGATCAGTATGGGCATGTATGGGAGTGCGCACACGACGCCGATTCGATTTGGCCGATTCTTCATAAAAATTAAAATCGGGCACAACTATCGGCCAACTAAAAATCAACGGTGTGCGCCTACTCTTAAGAGTCTCATCTCAAACTAACGCTGGCCGTAACAACGAACATATTATGCTTGAAAATTTTGACTGGTTCATCCAGTGTCTAAAAGGCTCAGATGGAAGGGCAGTCGCCCGGCAAGCGAAAGGTCGTAGGTTCGATTCCCTTCCTTATGCAGTTCGATTTTTTCAAGTTATTTATAGTCTATACTAATATTATAAATGCGAAAGTAACTCTGTCTGTCTGTCTTGCTTTCACGCCTAAACCACTGAACAGATTGTGATGAAATTTGGCATAGGAATCCCGGGAAAGGACATAGGATAGTTTTTATCCCGGTTTTTGGAACAGGGACGCGCGCGATAAAGTTTTTCTGTGACAGACAAAATTTCACGCGGGCGAAACTGCGGGCGGAAAGCTAGTTCTGTATGAAATTTAAAAACTGATAGAAATGGAATGGAAAGGAGTACAAATAAAAAAAAATATTTAATGATTGAACTTTGTGATCCGCAGGCGGAGGCCTACGCCATCAAAGCCAAGGCAGTAGCAGACGCCGAGCAGATGTCCAAGAAGGCCGAGGCGTGGAAGGAGTACGGATCCGCTGCCATGGTCGACATGATGCTGGAGACTCTACCCAAGGTCTGTACTCTGATTGTGTTTTCCCAGCCGGTCCAATATATGAACGACACTTTGGTGCAAATGGGCCACCGACCACAGCCACCGGTGGCCAGTGCCGGCGACTTAACACACTTTTTAATATACAGGGTGTTTGGCGCATCGTGTGCCAAAATGATTTGGCGGATAGAATGGGTCATTTCCTATATTTTCAGCCCCCATAACACGTTCCATGTCAGGCGGCTACTTTTATATTAAGTTTTTTAGTAATTTCACCAAAATACCCAAATCGCATCATTTAATTTCGATTTAAAAAAAAACTACTAAGCGTAGCCTCAAAGTAAATATTTTGTTTTGACGTGCATTGATATAGGGTTGCATCAAATCTAAATTTACTGGCAAATATCATCTAGTTTTTTTTTAATTCAGCTTTGAACTTTTCCGAAAAGTTAAAAATGGACTGAACATTTAAGTTTACATGGCTATAAATTTTTTTTTAAAAGAGATAGCGATCTTCGGATTTTATCAAAACTTCTCTAGTCTATCCCCATTCAAACGGTATACTAATCTTGTTTAAATAATAACAACAACTTCACAAATTCCCTAAATTAGTGCATTGACTCTATTCGGACTGATTTGCGAAATTTGTGTTTATAGCCCCTTTTTGTGTGAATAACACGTTAAATACCTACAGGTAAAAATGTACAGTCGCGGAATGAAAAGGTTCGTCAGTTTTCAAATTGATTCCTTCAACGAATCGCGAGCACATATTACCTTTTGAAACTATGTTACAGAATAATCTCGAGTTAGAGAAAATAATCTTTAACTGTTCGTCAGTAAAGTTCAAAATTATTCAGATCAAAGTTGTTTGACGATTTATCTTGTCAAGAAGATTATTATGATTGATAAACTAAAACCTTCTTGTTGGTTCAACCTGCCATTATTATTTCTATTAAATAAAAAAAAACTATTGTCAATTGGTCAATGTCATCATTGCATTGCACTGATGGGATAGAAAAATAAACAAGCAAAACCTTATTCGTAAGCAAACGTCATATTTATGTAAATGTTAGCAGCACTGTTTCTTGCACTGTTATGTTGGCAGGTTTGAATTTACAGTACCTAGTGCAAGCGAAAACCGACACTAAGGTGACGAACCTTTTCATTCCGCGACTGTACAATAGCAATGCGACTGCGACAAATGTATGGAGTCGATACTATACGGCAATCTATCAGAAAACCAGAATATTGTGAGTGTTACCAATATATTGCCGCAATATACGCCCAAGTAAGTTTTTTTTTGTACAGAAAATAAAATTGTTTGACACTTTCAAAGAGAAAAGTAAGTCAGATAGATAAATCTAATTTATGCAACCTTAAGGTCAATCAGTAAGATAACAGGAATGAGGTCTAGATAGCAAAATGTAAGTTGATTAGAATGAGCATAAAATTAAATACAAGTCAAGATGTACATTCTAAAGAACTCTTGGCATTTTTGATAATTGTTCTTATTCACTTGCTCTCAATAACTTAAACAATGAGCTATCCTATCTTTAAACGCGTAATTACTTTTCCACGTAATGTAAATTATAATAACACAGTTCAAGAGCCTTTCGAACAAACGATTCTTATGAGAATTAAATACAAATTGTTTTCTTGCAGTTAAATCCGTTTTTTGGTACCCATAGTACAGCTATGCTTGGTACTTAAGCTTCGGCCAAATCAACGCGTCCGCGATAGCGCCGCGACTAATGACAGGACGCGTTGATGTGAACTCATCGCTTCAAATTCGTACATGACGTCTGATCGCCATCGCGCACGCAGGCTTCACGTTAGCCGACACTTTACTGAGAAGTAGTGGCGAAATAAAGGCATCTTTTCAATTTTAAGTTTCTAATAATACACCGTGTTACTTTGCATTCTTGCCATATTCACAGAGATAAAAGTAGGGACCAATACCTGTTATTTAAGATAAACAAGAGACTCCCATAAAGAAAGTACACTGAGTTTTTAGTAAATTTGGTTTTGCAGTACAAATTGGAATAAACCAATTTTGTCTCGCACTTTCTACAGGTGCAAGTGGAATAAACCTAGTGGGCGTGGCCTAGTTCTTATTAATCTGTGATGTTTTATGGCTCTGGGTACCAGCCTTTTTATCCAGTCATAATAATTATTTTAAAATACTCTTCAGTTGATTTTAGATTTTCCTTTCTTCTCTCAGTTTCTACTTTACGGGCTTAGGACCGTCAAAAATACGCAATAATTATTAGGCTTTTAATTAATTTACAACATTGTTCCCTATTTTTACAAATTAATAAATTAAGTATGAAATGAAATCACCTTATTCACAATTAATTATTTATTTATGAGTTCCTACTTACAAAGTTTACGTAACTGGACCCCCTCGTCCAATCCACTGTTCACCAAACGTATTATTCGCGCACTTGACGTCCTTATTGTGGGGGAGCACCATCCTGCTGGTAGTAGAGCATTTGGTGTAACGCTAAGGGTGCGTCATCAAGCATTTCATTTAAGACGTCTTGCAGACACTCCAAGCACCATTTTGATTAAATTATTCGTTGTTTGAATACACTTCAGTCATTTTTGTATTATTTATAACGTGATTTGTGATTGATGGATTTCTCAGTTTTTTACAAAAGTGTCAAAAAGACATTTTAAAGACAATAGATTGCAATAGATATTTAAAAATACAATAAAAAGTAAAAAAGTCTCCATCGCCATCGCTAACATAAGTGATGTGCATGCGTTACGATAGTTAGTGATGTGTTTAACAGATTGTCGATAAAATAAAATATTCAAAATTAAAAATCAAAATTTTCGGGCATTATTTTTTAACGGATTTGTGTTCAGTATCAGTAATATAGTTACCTCTGTAAATATGGCAAGAATGCAAAGTAACACCCTGTATATTACAGGAAAAACCATGTAATATAAAATATTACCTATGCATCAAGAAGTTCCTAGCTAATTATGTTAACTAGACTTGTTGATGTTGATTATTCAATAGGTACTTAGTTATTTAATAACAAGTCACATACGTACTCGTAGTGCACACAACACTCGACATATCCTAACAATAGCAAGATAAAATAATAAGATTGCGATAATAATAGTCAGTCTTAACCACACTTGAGTGCAGCATGTATGAAATTCTGTAACCTTGTAACTTGGAAGTGTAGAAAACTGAAATTAGTTTTGGAATAAATAATCTTAAATAAATATGGTACGATATTTCTACTTCGCCATGTAGATTCAGACTAAGTCAAGGTTTTTATATTTATAACCAGACAATGTGATTTCCGTTGATTTGATAACTAGTGTTATAATTTCTATACTTTCTGAACTGACACTTGAAACAGCAATATGTATGACGGCTCGGGCGATAAATCACTATTACTGCTTGTATACAAAAAGCTTTATTACAGGTTTATGAATCCAAAATTCCTGTAATTTAATAGTCATATTGTGTTATTTGCTGATGATTTCAAGGTTGCAAAAAATGTTTACACTTGTCATGTAATGTTCACGTCTTCAGTCTTCGTCAAAAACGAAATAATACATATTATGATACTGGGGTGAAGTAATAATGTGAGCTATTAACGAGTAGTTAAAGTTAGCAACCCAAAAATTAACGAGTCGTTAAAGTTAAAAATCCTACTTATGATGAAAAGGACATACAAGTTTTATTTTAGGTATATTTTTTCAAGTCAACAGATGATCCCTCACCTGGAGCATTTGCCTGTAATGTAACATTACAGTCTTAAGCATTACATAGTTAGTGAGGGAAAAGAACCGACCATTACAGTGCGTAACTTGATAATACAATGTTAATTTAATTGAAATATTAATTATGATGCTACTTGTAAAGGTGAGTACAGATTACTTGCAACAGAAAAATGCCGCTCTATGTCATATTTTAGTGTATCTTCACCCTTTCTTCTGAGCATGTTGTATCTCGCAAGAACGTTACATAACATAGAAATGCTCAGGAAAATGTTCTAGTAAATACTGTAATGTATATGTATTATATCCACCTTTACCATTGAATCTGAAATGCAAAAGCTCCTCAAGTCGGGGTAGTATTGTAATGAAATGATCAAAATCGAATCTGAAATGTTACATTAAAAGCGAATGCTTCAGTTTAGGGAATACCTTATTAATCGGTCTCTTGGCTGGTTCTATACCAAAGGAAACAATTCCTATAAATTTGATCCTGTCTGTCGCGGGGACCCAGTACGGTGATAAGTCAGCAGTCGTCACGTCTCACGCGCGTAACGTAACCTGCGCCTAATGCGATTCGCCTCGCCACTGCGAAGTGCCTAACTTGCCTCGTGCTATGTAATCAAAGTTACATGAAGTAACAGTGGTTGTATACATACAAATACTAAACATATGTATAGTGTATACCTATACATAATAATTCGCGACACAAACTCGTCATAGCTATCCTTGTTATTCGCAAAGTATTTATTTGCGGTTTTGGGTTATCAGTAAGTGTTTCTCACAGGAAAAACAACAATATAATTTACGACCTAATCAGCGAGTAGGTATTTGTTGCATATTTAATGCTGCGCTGAAGTCATCTCTCAGTTCGTTTTATCATTTCACCTTTGACTTTACGCTTATTATCTTCGCGAACACCCAAACATTAGACTGTAAGTAGTCTCAAATTATGTTTGATTATACTTTATAATTCAGTTCATAGCTCTACTCTACGAGCAATGAGCATGTAATTTTTATAGTTTTGTAACAAAGCGTTAAATCAAATATTTGAAATGCACATGTGGGGTCATTATATCACGTGCGAATGATAAACGATTACCAAACGTTATGGGTATATTTCCCCTGACACAATATGAGATTAGTAAAATTAGCCACATAAATAGGCCTCGTCCAGTATAGGGCACAACTCGCGAACATGTCAGATATTTTTTGTCAATTTTACAGATTATTATGTTATCATGCAATGTCAAATGCAACCAAAATCATGTTGCGATACAAATGCGCCCAAAGCCCTTTAATGCAACTTAAATTACTTATGTAGCGTAGGAAGCGAAAACCAACCTTTGGTATACTTAGTTGGTATTCAGCATCATTATGCCAGGCAAAGTAAGAAAACACAGAAGTTATTTCTATAAATTCGTGCATAACCAGAAATCATTTGATTTGAAAGTCGATTATGATTTCTACTAAACTACATGTTTGAAAATTTTAAACAATTGTTATTTTATCTTCAACAATAATCAGGTTTGCGCTGCTTCAGTAAGTTTTAACTGGCGCACTCACTGGTCCGGTATCAAGTTAGCACAATACTCGATAGTTTCGCCCACTTACACGGACAATTTCACCCTTATCGAATGTATAACAATCACTCACCCGAAACCATACGCAGCTCGACGATTACGATTAAAACGTAATGTGTGTAATGCACTGTAACTTCATTTACGGTAACTCGATATACAGGGTGTCCCGTAATGTAACGTCAAGCCGGAACTGGGTGTTGAGGCAAGTTATGTTGGTTATCAGAAAAATATAAAAAAAAATGTATGTGGCATATTTTCAAAATAATGGGCATTTAAAAAAAATCAAAAATTTTTACTCCAGGTGACGGTCTTTTTACTCGTGTTGCCACAAATCTTCACTTTTTCCAAATTTTTTTTTTGTTATGTAGCCCTGAATAATGCTTCTCTAAATTGTTATCAAAATTACAAAACCAGCTGCTCCAACTTGGATGAAAAAAANCAACACGAGTAAAAAGACCGTCACCTGGAGTAGAAATTTTTGATTTTTTTTAAATGCCCATTATTTTGAAAATATGCCACATAGATTTTTTTTTATATTTTTCTGATAACCAGCACAACTTGCCTCAACACCCAGTTCCGGCTTGACGTTACATTACGGGACACCCTGTATGTACCAAAAAGAAATTTCTTTATCGCTTTTGTTGTTATTTTGTATGTGTTTTATGACTGTTTTATGTTCTATGTTACTTTTAATGTTGTGTACCTAACGCATGGTTAACATTAAAACACTAAAATAATGCATAACATATCGGGAGTCGAATCACGAAAAGGCGTAACTGATTTTTATCAATTTTACAGCAGCGACTTTTAAAGATAATTTAAAGTATGGAAAAATTCATTTCGTTCCCATTTTACCTGTCATTGATACTGGCTTCCTTAAAAATAATTCAGTTACGATCTTTTGTGAGGTTATAAAATGCATGTTTTTAATAACATGGTGTGTATAACTCAATATCTCCATTTTGTTAGATACGCCTTTTCGTGATTCGACTTAACTGATGTTCTGTAACCCTATCTATGTGACACAGTGTTACGGAACTTCACCTTTAAATTGTATACGGTCCTAGATTACTCTGTAACTTTTTTCTTGTATAATTTAGTACTTACCTAAATGCCAATTCTCAACTAAATCCAATTTCTTAAATAGTAAACGAGGACCTTATATCGTTTCATTCATCTCATTTCATTTATTGTTCCACTGTCTGTTTAAACTTTATAACCACTCAATATTTCCTAAAGGTGCTGAATTAATAATACTTACACAGGGTGAATTACATCGTTTCTTTGATCCACTTCAATCTATAATCATTGCTTTAAAAATTTAAAGAGTCACGGGCAATGTCATCGCAAATAATTATATACTATCGTCAGCACACCACACCGTTACAATTTATTAAAGGTTGACAAAAGGCAATTTACATGCTATCTAACAAATAAAGTTTTTCGGGAATTTATCAGAAGGTAGTGAATATAATAGTTAAAATCTATCGTGGAATTCATCAAATATGATTATTTTGCTGACGATAGTGCACACCAATACCATTGTAAAGGCGATGTATAAGCCCGTATTAATCCAGCACCCCACGCACTCACATACTAACGCTTGGCTTAACCGTGGTGGTGGCAGGCCGTGGCCGAACCGCCGCCGGTGCCCACTCCGACGGCGCGCGGGGACTCCGCCAAGAAGGCACGATAACTCCCCGACGACACCAAAAAATGCTCATTCAGGTAAGCAACTAATACCAGGCCTGTTCATCTCCGCGAGTTTACATCGAAAACAAAACACGCACGATGTCCCACCTACAGGATACTATTCGACAAGGCCTCACATACGAGCGAACATTGACTCACGCACGCGTATTCTTGTGTATGATGGAAGAAAATAAAGAAAATGGTGTACTAAATACTGTGCAGTATTTAAATGCCTAAATAATAATAAAAACACAGAATGTACTTTTTTAAGTTGCCTCAAGACACTGAGAGGTAAATAAGTAGTTAATATTATTCATGATAATTCATGCTAAATAATGTATTTCCTCCGCCATTTTCCGCAGTTTGGCACCTCACGTCACATCATTTTACCGAAGTCAGCCCTATAGCTTCGGCGCAGTCCGATCAATGACGTTTGTCAACAAAATGGTGCTTGACTCTTGAGACAGGCTAAATTACACCATATTGTTAATGACATTGAGCATACATTTTTTTAAATACCTTCGGGAAGTAAAACTTCTGTACGTAGTACTTATTATTATTCTGTGCTAATACCATCAACCGGCACTGACTCATCGTGATCTAATCGTGAAAAAATAACTCATGATTGTGCGGGTTGCAGACCAGGAGCTAAGTTTGTTTTGCTTAGGCGACGGTTCGCGTTGCGACATGGCGATCGAGACAAGACACCACGACCGCTACTTGACTTAGGCTTAAATATTATTGGCAGGTAGTTGCTAATTGCTCATAAGATAGGCCCCCTTAATTGATATTTATTGGCGGGGTGCATAATCTTTTCTTAAAGGTTTTAAACTTTTGTTTGTCACCTGTCATCCGCTTTGCAATGGAGGGAAGTCGAACCTTAATTTCGAACTCCTCCTATGTTCCTTTAATTAATTTCGTTGCGGGTCCAATGACAGTTTAACTTTTCCCCGGGACAAACTTGACTCTCACTGGTTGGGTTTTTATGGCGGTCAAGCTGTAGCTAGATCCTGGCTACTACACAGGAGTTGCAGTGCGCAGTGGTGGGAACGAGAGGTGGGAATAGTCCCGTACTTGACTTAGGTCTCTGTATCGCTCGAGAACTGACGATTATATATTGCCTAAAGTCAAGTAACGGTCGCTTGTCTCTGTCGCAGCTCGAAACGCCACCTTAACTCGCACAACTGATGCATTTATCCAGTGTTTGCACCCAAATAAAACTTCGTCAGCAATGCGAGCTAAGCTAAACTTAGCTTTTGATCTGCAGCGCGCATTATACCAATATCGCCGTTATTGTGTGAGAGACGCAAGCGAATTTTCCGTCTGCCAGACAGCAGCAATACCAAGAACTTGTTTAGTTGATTGCTGGAGAGAGTATATGCGAACATCAGGCCTCCCCGACCCGTCTGACCAACGTAGGGAAACCTTCCATTCCTCTGGACTAAGTGACCTGATGATGATGATGATGGAGCGAAAAAGCAGAGCTGTTCTACAAGTTCCGCGAAGGTTGTAGTAGAAAAACTAACACTAACATCTTAATTAGTGTCCGACCGAATATGGATTTTCAGCCGAAAACGGAAACGAAAACGAAGCTTCGGCTGCAGTCTCATTTTCGGCCGAAAACGAAAACGAAAATGACCTTCAACTCTCAAATTTCAATCTGAAATTATGTAAAATCTTTGAAAACCGGTAATGTTTTGACCAAAAACATAATGACGTTTGACAGTTGTTNTGGCCGAAGGACCATTTTTTGGCCGAAAACGAAAACGAATATTCGGTCGGTCACTAATCTTAATACAACAGATTAACCTGTGTATAATATTTGCATGAAACATGAGCAAGTGCGTGCACATTATGTATATTAATATAATTTAAAAATTGCACAAATATAAGCTCCCATATAGGTACACGAACGAACAGTCAATTTGTCACGTGACCACATGAATTCATATTTTTCCAGACTAGGGAGTACCAATTTCAGTAATTTAATGTGTGTCCTGCATTTTTCTACGTTATTCTTATTGCCTAATCTCATCCTTAAATTTTAATGTTCTCCTCTACGATTACTTCTAACAGAAGTTCCCTCGTTAGCCAAAAACAATTTTTATAAAAAATGTTTACTAAGTAACAACAAGAACTATGTGTGCGACCATCCAAAACGGTAATGTTTTAATTAACAGTTTTTCTCAGTTCACGCATATAATATTAAAAACTGGGAATTAGTCACGAATTGTAATTATTCTCATTAGTGGTCTCAATCGACGCGAGACTGTGTTGACTCGAAATAATATCCACCTCCGTCTCATTACTGCGATTATGTACACACTTGCGATAAGAAATTCATTTACAATGAAAACAGGAGTACAATTTTTAAAGAAGTTAGGTTTCACCTCACCTAGCCACAGACTTGCAGACTTTTTGTCGACCGATAGTTGGGTCGAACTGTTAATCAGTATGGACATGTATGAAAGTGCGCACATTGGTTCTTCATGCAAATTAAAATCAGGCTCAACTAACGGCCGATTATAAGTCTGTACTTAGTCTGCGGGGAGTCTTAATTTCAAATTAAACTATTTATATTTGTTGTAGAAAGAGCTAAATGTAAAATATCAATATCAATCATAATAAATGTGCAATCATTATTTTAATGGTTTTGGATTTAACATCTCATTTACATTAGTTGCCATTTATCAAATAAATTTAACACTGTTACTATAATATTGGTCATTTTAAATACATACATACACACAAATTCATGTATTTATCAATAAATAAAAAACAAAGGTCCCAACTGGCAAATGACATCGCAAAAACAATAACAACAATTGCGCTTCAAAGTGGTTCCAATCGAGGAGTCAGAAATTTATCTTTTAGCTAGACTGGATGAGGATGCCGTGCGGCATTATTTTTTCCTTTCCAATTTCATAAATCCACTTGTCACTGAGCAAACAACTACCAAACAACATAATTAAGATAGTTAGATAAATACATGACAAATTATTATTAATGTAGCCCACAGCGCTATGCTCTGTTTACTAAAACATTTTTTTCCGCACTCTGTCGCTCAGGCACGGATCGCTCTTGGCTGCGCACACCTCTAACATCCGTAGCTAAATGAGCGCGTGACCTTTACTCATATCCCGCATTTTAGTTCCCGCAGTTTATTTATTGAATTCGATAAGATTAGCTAAACATGTGTTTTTACTGTTAATATTAAAAATACAATATTTATTTCTGCACAAGGTAACACAAGTAATAAACATACAGCTCCGTCCGCCTAGTTTTCTAACTACCTGCAGCTATACTGCGATAGGATTCAGGAGAATGTGGTCCTTGTAGTGAAACGACCACATGCCAACGTTCATTCAATAAATCCAATCCTAAGATTTTTATTGGCTTAAACATTAAAATTAAATCATAAGATGTAGGTAGGATCTGTGCTTCAATTGTTTTGGTAGGAAGGACCTTCCTGATATTTGTTTATCAGAGATAAATATTTTACGTTATATTGCTTACAACAATGTTTTTTTTTTCTTTTACAGAATGCTCGCGCACTGTAAGCTGCAATGAATTTCTTAGCGTTGCCGCGTTGCTCGTTACCTAAAGAGAAAACTACATTTGATGTTAATTCAGATTTATACATTATAATGTATTAAGGTAAGTAATATTTTATTCGACCTAAGTGCCACTTTTGGAAAACTCAAGGGAAATACCAAAGCTGAATTTACTTTGTTTACTGTAACGATGTTACGATAAAGTCTACGCCGCTACTATTAAAATATATTTTCGTACCTATCTACTAGTGAACAGTAGAAAGCTTACCAGCCAGTCTGTAATAATGTAGTGTTTAGTTATCTTCAAACAAAATGACACCGAAATGTGTTATTTTTATGTAAAATGTTTCCTTATGCTAACCATCAATCTTGTTATTGCAACTGTTTCAATTTATGCAAAAATCTTCCACGAAATAAATTCTTCCATGTATCTTCCTAAAATGTACGACGAAACTATTTTGATCTTATAGCTCGTCTTGTAATGTTACGTTATTCTATTACCTCAACAAATCAGAAAATTGTATATTTTAAAACTAATCAAAATATCGTTAATTACTTAGTAGCTACTCGAACTTAGGTCCTAAAACTAATTGGATACAGTTACATTTTGAAATCACCAAAAAAGTAACTTGACTTTGGGAACTACTCGAAGTTAGTTTAAATTACTTTGGGTGCGTAGAACATCTAAAATTGCTAATTGCTAGTTTTTATCCATAGCAGCATTACACGATTTACATGATAAACATTATTGTTGTTTATCTAATTCTTGTTTCTACATAAGTGGCATTAACTTATGGACAACAGAACATGTTATAAAGTCATCAATGCTGCTTACGTCAAGACAACAATCCACGTCCTTGTCGTATTGATTGATTTCTTTATCAGCGACGACCTAATGAGGCCTGAGGCTGTGGGAATTCTAGTACCTGTAACGTTGGCGCTAAAAAGGTTTGACACAATGGAAACATTTTTCTGCTAAAACTAAAGAGCGTCAGGCTGGCTGGTGACCTTATCTGAAGTTGTGATTCGGTCACTTTGTGTATGGAGTAGGTGGACACTGGTGTGCTAATATAATTTAGACTACTGTGTGACCTGATGTTAAGGTAAACTTAGTTTTGATCTGTCGCTGTACAAATGTGATCCGCATCCACTCGACGCAACCGTGCGACATTGGTCAGTGCGATGAGCGCTGTATCTCTGTAACAATACTAACAATGTACAAGTGTTTGTTCTAGCATACATAAAAACAACTTTTGACCAATCGCCTAAATTTTTTCCCTATGTAGATGATTACAAAATGACTGTTATACAAAAAATAATACCTATATTTTTTTATTTAGCTAACTGTCGTTAGGGTATAATGTGGTAAATATTTGGTGTTCAAAAAGTGCAGTTTAGAAAATTTAATATTGTAACTTAGCGCGTTCATATTAGACATTATTGATGTCATTTTCTAAAGTAATACGAATCGAGTAGATTTTTAAGAATTTGTGTGTAAACTTGTTTTCTACAGAGCGGTTCGGTTACCGTCTACATTGGCTTAGTAACGGCTAGTCAATTTACAAAATTCTCTTTCTATATTTTTACCATTTGTTTTCTTAGATATGTAAATAATCATCAACGTTTCGTTGTAAAAAACTTTTTTATGCTTTTTTTCCTATGTTGAATATGAATTTTTATAATTTGTAATATCTGATTGCTATAATATGATTATAGTACAGATTTTCAATTTTAATTTGTAAAAGTTTACATTAATTTTAGTTCAAGTATTAACGGTAAGGTAAATTTACCGTTTATTTAAATTTTTGGCAGATCAATTATTTATTATTCAGTCTTTCCATTTTATCTATACAGGGCTAGTGAACATTTTTTCAAAGATTTATGAATAATTGTGGGTTTCTGTTCATTTCCGATATAATTAAGGTGATTTAACTACGAAAACTCCATTTAACTATAAGATAGGTATTTTTCTTCAGGGTGCATTCAATAGGCTCTAGCCCTGTACTACTAGAAAGCTAGCTAGGAGTATCCATAATTATGTCGATTCGATCAACTGCTATACATTTAATAATATTAATTTAATGCCATCCGGCACGGAACACTATAGTACCTCTGGTGCCATATCAATACACTATGATTTAAGGATTTTATATTGTTTATTTCTTTAAATACTTTGTATGATTTAATTAGGTTTTAAGATAATGTACAATCGAGAGAGATGAATTAATATAATTTGTTACCAGTTAGTTTTAATTGCAGTGAAAAGTATTTGCTTAGTTAAAATAACCGCACAATATTATTTCAAAGTAACAATGCATTTATTTTAATTGTTTTAAGTTTTATTTTACAAGTACCGTATTTTACCTCTTTTTTTTTTCATTATCTAAATGTGCAAATTATAAGCTGACAAATGTGTAAACTGAATTGATATTTGTCGTTTTGAACTTAGTACATTTACTTACCAAGTATGTACCATAATATTATGATGTTACATAACTTATTTAAAATATGTTTTATCAGATATTGTAAAAAATACAAATGCCTAACTTAATACCTGCATTCAATTATAGTAAATTGTCTATGTAGTAATTTTTCATGTAACGATATTTACGAAAAATCATGAATGCACTGAGAGTGGCACATTGAATATACGTTTCGTTGTGTGAATCACAAATTTTCAATAATTGATGTGTATTGACGTGGTTTTTATTCATGTATAATTCAATAAACTTGCAGATTGAATTTGTTGTTTTATTTCATAGTTACTAAAATCAGATCAATATTATGAAAATCATCTTTTTCATAATTCTATTTATACAGGGTGTTAGCTAAATGGGTATATGAGCCGACACTAGCACACTAACATGGGCATATAAATGGTATGGTGAAGTGGGTAATGGAATGGGTATATCCATTTACCTACGNATACTTTTAGTGCAGCCCTCGTAACACCCTGTATAAGTTTTGAACTTATCAACCAAGACAGGTCTAACTAAGGTCAATTTGAATATATCTAATAGCTATGATACGGTGGGTGGTGATAAAAAATATGCCTTTACTTGATTTGTGAGAAATTTACGAAAAACATTTAAATGTATAGCAAACTCCCCTAGAGCGCCACCTATCGGCATGTTTATTAGACTACTATTTAGATCAGTCTCAACAGAAGTTAAAATAAACTGAGCCCCGATTACGGTAACTTTTAACGTCAACAATCCAGACACGCTTCTCGATTCTGCGATACGATTGGTCAAAACAGCTGACGTACGCTGTTGAACGACCAATCGTATCGCAGATTCGAGAAGCGTGTCTGGATTGTTGACGGTAAAAAATACCGTAATCGGGGCTCTGATTCTTTTCCGCTGAAAAGCTGTTGAGCTTAACTACTTTATGGTCTACTGAATTGTTGCTGTAAGTCTTGCACCATTGCCGTATGCCTAACAAGAACAGTGATTAGGTAAACTTAATCTAAGAACTCTACTACTAATTTATGTCAATTTTAAGCATAGCTAGGCACCGTTAATCAAATAGTTAACTTCGTTAATCGTTAAACCGTTAATAAAAAAATTAACTTCGTTAAACGTTAAAACGTTACATTTCACAAGATTTAACGCAAGTTAACGTTAATCGTTAATCCGTTAACACATGATAATAAAACGAAAAAATAATTGTATGTTCCTCTTTTTCAGGGTTCCGTAGTCCTGACGAGGAACCCTAGTTTCGATACGTCTGTCTGTCTGTCCGAGGTTTTGCTTGGAAACTATTGGCACTAAGGAGCTGTAATTTTGTAGAGATATGTTGCGCCGGCAAAACGGTAGAATAAAATTTTGAAAAAAAAAAAAAAAATTTAGGTTAGGTAGCTCCCCTAACATGTAAAGTGGGGATGAATTTTTTTTTCATCTTTGACCCTATCGTGTGGGGTATCGTTGGATAGGTCTTAAAAATGTCTTAGGAGTTCCTAAGACATTTTTCAATTTAGGGATCTGTTTGCAAATTATTAAAGTTTAAAGTGCCAATTTTTGTTCGAGTAGGGCGTCCCCCCCCCCCTCTAAAACTAAACTGTTGGCTTGAAAAATCTGGAAAAATTCGTGATAATACTGCTATTCATGAACTTTCAAGGAAAACTATAGCGGTTAAGATTCATCCATTAGTTTGAGAGTAATAGTCATTTAACTCAAATGTATTACAAAATTTCTTAACTAGTGAAAACTCCTTAGAAGAAAATATGAAAAGTGTAGATGAAGTAATTGCTTGCTTCTGAAATATACTGTGGTAATGACGGACCACTACGGAACCCTACACTGCGCGTGCCACGACACGCACTTGGCCAATTTTTTTTGTTTGCGCTATAAGCTTTCGAAATTATTTGAACCTTGCATAAGTACAATTATTTTTTTCGTTTTAGTACAACTGCATTTCAGAATAAAAGCTTGTTTTTAAAAAAGTTTTTTAACTAATTATTTTACACTTTTTAGTAGTATCTCAATCTCAGAGCCTTGGTTCAATTACAATAAGTGCTCGAAAAGACAAATCCAGAAAACCCAAACTCGATAAGTTTCCACCGTGTCGTTTAGGAATTCCTATGGCCACCTCCTGACTCCATCATCAGACCAGCTCAATGGTACCATAACATTGCATTGTCATCGTACTTACTTAAGTATACCAAATTTCAGCTCAATCGGTTGAGGAAAACTGGACTTAAATTCAGTTGCAAGAGTTGTCCCACACATACTAACAAGTGTCGTTAGTGATCTGATTACAAAAACTGTTGTTTTGGGTTCTAAAAGTTCTGAAAGCCCGAACGTACCTACTTGTCAGAACGTTGTTTTTCAGCGTGCTTTTGGTAAATAGTAGGTACTGGATTAACGATTAACGGACTTAGGATAATTTAACGGAAGTTAACGAGTCCGTTAACATTTTTTAAAGTTAACTTAAAAGTTAATCCGTTAATAGAAATGTTAACTTCGTTAATTAACGATTAACGGATTAACGAGTTAATGCCCAGCTATGATTTTAAGACTTGCAAAACGAAATAAGTAATTGATGTTAAATGTGCTCACACTACTCGCACTAGTTTTTTTAATTCGAACATGCCGTACTTTGCTGCTTTGCGAAACTAATCTAAGGTAAAGTTTAATAAGTAAAATGATAAGAAAACGGTTTACGTAAAAAAATATCAAGTATATTTCAGTAAACAACACAGCATAATGACTTACTCGTAATTATCTACATCAACATGTAAATAAATCTTATTGTGTAGCTAAAAGTGAATTAAAGGATTTATTTAGATCTATAAAATAAATTACTTAACGCATTTACTAGGCGAATACATAATATTAGGACAAATACAATAAGAAGACATTATCGTTATGTATTACAGTAATTAAAATATAGACATTTCACAGATGATACTACAAAATAACAATATTTAGCATATTTCAAAGGTTTTTGGCCTAAGGTAGATGTAGTTTGAACGCCATTCGCTGCTTCAATTCATATCTAACCCATGTACCTGGAATAGAAATTTATTTTTTTATTTTCATAGAAACTACCTAGCTAAATAAATGTATCATTAGTGCTACATTCTCATGAATTAAACCGATAAAAAGTAAACCGATTAAGTATGGTGAGTATTATAAACGTTTGAGTGTTGGTTTTGAATCTCGGCGAGGAAAAACATGAGCGTAATTTAATAGGCGTTTTTCCTGCGGCGACAGATAGAGGCAAAAATTATACGATAGTCATAATAATAACAGATGTATCGTGGAAACACACGGGGCATGGGGCAATCCGATTTGCATTTTACTACGAAATCACATCCGTTAGTACTTAGCAAGGCTTCGTCGAGGCTATGACACGCCTTAAGAAAAACGCCCTATAAATTAATGAAGTTAGTATTTAGATCCAGAGTTCATTTTAGGAAATAAAATTAAATCTGCGCTTGCTCACTAAAATTTGAGCATCAAAATTAGGTAGGTACCGCGTGTTCAGGTACGGTAATTATTTTCTTAAAAGAACTCTGGAAGAAAGACTTGAAATAGGTAGAAAATAATCAGTTCCTATGTTAAGTTCTAAAATTGTATGTACAGTTGATAACATTTTATAACCGTAAGTAAGATAAGAAGCTGGAAGGTAACTATTTTTTACTTTAATCGCATGATTATTAATTGACTTCCCTACCAGATCGTTCAATAACATAATTATTAACTCTTATTAACAATGCTTTACTCGTAGTCAATCATTATTATCTACACTCGCGAGCAAAAGTATGGAATCACTTACATGAAGTTGTTTCCACGCGATCTTGTGTACTAACGAATTTGTTAGTAACAAAAAAAGTGGCACCATTTTAAAGACCAAACTTTGAACTTTAAATTGATACCAAATTCATTTAAATCACACCAGTATTTAAAAAGATATCGCGGTTGATGTGAAGAAGTAAGGAAAAAGACATGTATCAACTGTTTCATACGTCGCGAGTTGCGGCCTATTTACCCCTTCTAAAAGCACGTGTTTCCGGATTTTTGCTTTCACACGTTGATTCATACACATCTCCGTTTCTTTTGACACTTTACCTGGGATTCTACACCTTCAGAAGCAGCAGAAATCGTTGCAATATTGCAAGAAGAGCTCAACCAGCGGGCTGTCGCACGTCAGCTCCACATAAGCCAGTCCTGGGTTTCGAAAGTTTTAGGACGCTTTCGGAAGACTGGTGGCTTTATCTCGAGACCAAGTTCTGAACAGCGCCGGTGCACATCGCAGAGGGATGACCGTTTTTTCATGTCAACCCCTCTATGAAATCGTCATTTGACTGGTATCGAAGTCCAGCAAGAGCTCAAAAATATTCGTAGGATAGCTGTTAGCAAGTGGACAGTTCGTCTAAGATATAAGCAATAGAATTTGACTCCAAAAAGGCCTGCCACAGGCTCGAAACTGATCACATGTCACCGATAAGCACGCTTTTAATTTGCTCGTACACATCTCGATGGGAAGTCGAGCAAGCCACCCCCATAAGTCACTGTTTCAGCGCTCCAGTACTGCACAAATCGCTCCCTAGGCCGCCTATAGACCCGACCTCTTCGACTGCCGCACTGCAAACACAGTCTGCATTCTTTGGAGAACAAAACTCGCCTCCATTACTCGTCTTCCCATCAAAATGTATGCGAACAAATTAAAGGCGTATATGTCGGTGACCTGCCGTCAGTTTCGAGCCTGTGGCAGGCCTTTTTTGAGTCAAATTCTATTGCTTATATCTTAGACGAACTGACCACTTGCTAACAGCTATCCTACGAACATTTTTGAGCTCTTACTGGACTTCGATACCAGTCAAATGACGATTTCATAGAGGGGTTGACATGAAAAAACGGTCATCCCTCTGCGATGTGCACCGGCGCTGTTCAGAACTTGGTCTCCAGATAAAGTCACCAGTCTGCCGAAAGCGTCCTAAAACTTTCGAAACCCAGGACTGGCTTATGTGGAGCTGACGTGCGACAGCCCGCTGGTTGAGCCCTTCTTGCAATATTGCAACGATTTGTGCTGCTTCTGAAGGTGTAGAATCCCAGGTAAAGTGTCAAAAGAAGCGGAGATGTGTATGGATCAACGTGTGAAAGCAAAAATCCGAAAACACGTGCTTTTATAAGGGGTAAATAGGCCGCAATTCGCAACGTATCAAACAGTTGATACATGTCTTTTTCCTTACTTCTTCACACCAACCGCGATATCTTTTTAAATACTGGTGTGAT